GGGGCCTTCCTCGGCGTCCCCCCCGAGGCTAGTTTACGTGTATTTGTTGTGCAGGAAACCCTCGGCTCCTGCGTCGTTCGGACCGAGACCAAGTTCCCTCAAGATAAAAGGATCTTCCGAGATTCGATTGTTTTCATCCGAAACAAGTGTAATAATTGTAGTAATATTTGTTGGAAATGAAATAATGCTCATAGAAATTGAAAGGTCTCCCACTATTCGACAAAACTAAGCAAGGTTAAATCTCACATATAATAATAAATTTTTTTTTTCTTACAAATTTTCCATTGTATCTAGATCTCACAACATAAGTTACCGATAAGCTTTTGAAAGTTTATTGTCCAAATTCAAACTTCCTAAAATCAATTTTGTATGTTGATAACATAAATCAAGGTATCTTATATTAGGAAAACACATATTGTAGGCTTTGTAGCCCCTTTGCTTCAGAATAAATGCCCCATTTTAATCGGCGCATCTGCGGAACTTTGACCAATGATATACTTCGTATTTAACTATCTATAAGAATATAAAGTTAATATTCGAAAAATATATCTTGAGACGATTAGAATAATTATCAACATTATTATGTATAAAAACTTAAAAGCACAAACGGAGGTCAAAGTGGTGTGTGAAATATGTGAATAATGCAAAAAATCAAGATGGGACATTTGGTTTAAGACGAAGGTAGTATTTCGAATACTATCTAGATGTATGTATACGTTCTAGAATATATCGATGAACAATACTAATACACCACAGGTAGTTCATTAAATGGATTAGTAAGAACATGAAGATATATTTTTCATCAATGTTGCAACAATATGTTCATTTTATTTGTTGTATGTTAATGGGTCTAGCTAATAAATTTTGCCTTCCTTCTGCCAAGCTGCCAACAGCTCAAAAGCATTGCTGGCTTGATGCCCATAGCAAAAGGCCCATATCCGTTTGTAGCTTGTACTATCCATGTTTTGCAACACAGGCCCATTTAAATAACAAGGAATCCAGCTCAAAATGCTTTAACACAAACACCAAGTCTCCAAATCCATCAGCCATCACATGCCATGCGGCCCAACATATTTGAGCTTAGAGCTATAGAAATGAGTATTTTAAAAATTAAAAAAAAAATAAAATAAAAAATTAATAGAGGTAAGAAGAGTATACATTGAACGTCCTCCTCTAAAGGGGCTACACCTAACGAGTTACTAGTAAGAATCGAGAGTAGTTGCAAGCTATTACATAAATCAATACGTTACATTTGCTATCCAACTTGCGGCTCTATTTGCTTCCTTGTATATGAGGTGAATCTCTTATTTGTCGAATGTTGAGAGTTAATTGTTAAGTATATCAAGGTGTTTATGCTCATATCAGTCATATATACACAATACATTAGTCACTATAGAACTATAATAGTTCTAAACTTTTCTCGATCCTTGCGAGTGGATTTCATGTAGTCTAGTTGGTCAATTGTATATTGTAGTCCTAAACATGTGTAATCAATTTCGTCTAACAAGACTATCAAAAAATAGTACTCCTAGAGATGAGATTGCGCGTAGTTTTAGGTGGCCTATTAAAATAAGATGTTAGTGGGGTAGATAAGGTTATTATTTTATTGAAAAGTAGAGTGGTGTGAGACGGAGTGGGGACCATTGAAGGAGTGAGAAATGATAAAGTAAGAAAGAATGAATACAATAGTGGGAAAAGATATATTATTAAACTATAAGAGATTTCCAATAATGAAACTCTAACTTATAAAAAAAAGGACAAAAATAGTAACTCTAACTTATAAAAAAACTGAAGGAGTATAACCAACATGAAAAAGAATTTTGATATAACTTCTCAATGCATTCATAAAAAAAAACACAATTAAAAGGAAATAAATGACACTGACTTAACCATCTTGAAAAAGTACAGGCATGTATACACAAAACTCAGGTTAAATCGATCAAAATGTTTCTTATTTATGTCTGTAATATTTATTTATTTATTGAAATAATTAGTAGAAACAAGGTCAAAAAGGGAAATGATATTATCGAAATTCAATCACATGTACTATTTGTTATCACCCCAAGAAGATTGCATATATGAATTCAAGCTGTTTATCATTTATGTGAACAATAATAGTCAATCAAGTTGATCAAGATACTTTCAAATCCAAATAGATCAAATATGGCATATTCTCATGCATATAGGGATCTATTATTCTAGACAACATGACGAAGTAAAAGTTAATTATAAAATTAATCCTCATTACATGAAATAAAGTATTCAAACTACTGCTAGAGTACTAGGACTAACCACTTTTCTAATATAACTTTTATGTTTTCACTAGCTTTATAAGTTATAATCCAACAGATCAACCACCATGATGTAAATTACTTTTACAAGAACCTTTATACCCGCCTAAAACAAATATCTTCTTAATAAAACAATGCACATTAATATAAAGACGCAATTTGCTAAAGTTTTTTATATGAATGGAATATATTTATAACCTAAGTTGCAATTTGCGTAAGTAATTAAGGAGGTATACAAAGAATTAGTATAGATTAGGGGATAGGATAAGAATATGTGTATGCTTAGGAAACCAGCCGAAGATGCGACCAACCAAGTGTTCCTTTGTTTCTTGACTATATCCCAGCAAAGAAGCAACCATCCAAATCAAGCAATAATCCTTTGTTTCTTCAAACTATGTTGTTCATCAATGAGGGTTGTGATGGAATTGTTGAGACCCCAATTGGAAAAACATACCCACTTTAAGGCATGGCAAAGATTGTCCGGATTCGTTGTCTCTTCGAGTGTACTTAATCTCTAAGTTCAATCGTAACATATTATACGATCAACTCTTTATTGATCCAAAATAATTATATATACCCTCCTTTGTAAAGTAATACTACGTATCATATTGGACCGCTTAGAAATGATCTATCCTAACCTATGGGCTATCAACTTATTTTTTTTGCTCGATTGACTCGACTCAAATATCAATCTATAATAAATCTGGTTGAACTCAGCCTACTTTTACTAAGTTTGGACATTGATTTCCCAATCCAAATAATAGCATTAGACACCTCTTATACTCTAACCCAAGTAACCGAACCCCACCCATGATCAACTCTAGCTAGTACTCCGTATGGGCTAAACATGTGCATTCACACTATTTAAACCAAATCTCAATATTAATCCGCTCAGTGGCTTCAAGTAAGTAAAATTCAGTTAGAAAGAACAAAACCTAAATGCTAAAAAAAAAAAAAAAAAAAAAAAAAACCGAGTTGGTTTTGACAAAAGATAGTAAGAAAGCAAAGCATGTGAGATAAGGAATTAGAAGGGAACCAAAAGCATGTGAAATCGAAGAAGCAAAAACTCCCATATTAAAGTGGCTAGCTGTTGATGAGCCATATATCCCTGTAAGACAACCGAGTATATCGTAACTATTATCTACACTTGACTACACTACACGTGATTAGCCATTACATTCAGATAAAATTGAATAGAATTCAAAGTGTGTAAATAATAAAGAGATAAAATCCAAGTCAGGTCATATCATAGCAATTTCTTATTGTGTGGTTGTTTTTTGAACCCGTCTTTTTCATGCCTACTTGTATGTGCTCTTTGCCTGTGCACTTGGCGTCGGACCTTCTCGTTCTTCCCAATAGCCCAACGCCTTTCCTTCGCTCCTAAACTCTTCTTTTCAATTTTTTTTTTTTTACATTATCCAATCTTTTTTTAGTTAGATGTAAATTATTTATTTTAATATTTGTCAACCACATAATTTCAAGAACGATTAATAAACTTGTTACCTCAAAAATATAAATAAAAGATTATAGTATAATACACTTCATTCCTACTTGAATACTTCATTCGTTTCAAAATAATTAACTTGTCTGACTTTTTACCTAAAATTTATAGAGTTTTGATCATAAATTCTCACCAAAGTCGTTAATACTTCATATCAAAACATTATGACTTAGCTAATATTCTTTTCTTCTTAATACACAATATAGTAAAAAATAGAAGAATTACCTATAAACTTATAAAATACATAAGTAGCGCCAAAAATCTAAAAATCCAGAAGTTAGAGTTAAATAGGGACGGAGAGAATACTATATATATATATACATAGTACATACTCCCTTAGCCTTATTTCTAGAAAATTGTGTTTTTTTCAGCTTTCTCTTAAGCTTATCTTAATACATGGTCATTAGTGGCTACTCGTTGCTTTCTCTGTCACTTATAAATATATTCCTAATTAACCTAGTACCAAGTATTTGATTATATGCAATTTGGGCAACTAGATAAATATCCAACTTGGTCAAGTTCATTGTTGTTTGACTTGGCTTAGGTAGGTTCGTTGTACCATTCATTTTCTTAATTCCATTTTATTTAAAGATAAATAAATAGTGATAATATTACATGGCTTAACTCTTTTGGAGTTGTAGCATACCTAATATCCATATTAGTAGCAACCCACATCTTATACATGCACACCTAATTGATGCCATCTCAATCATATTGTGTAACTGTTTTCTTTTTATTTTAATTATTGGGAACTTAAAACTTACACTTTACTTTTTTAAGGCAATGAACTAACTCAAAGCTAACTCAACTAATGTGTCGTGTCATCAGAAGCTATTGTGTTTAGCTTCTCTAATCATCACTTAATTTCAAATTTACACATACTAATCAAATCATGAAACTTATCTCACCCTTATTTTTCAATAAAATGAGTAATTATCAGCTTGTCAATGTATATAGAATATCCGAACAACAAAACCCTTCAAGATGAGTATCGAGAATCAGACAACATGAGTTTAACATGTCGTTTATATTCCCGTATGATAAGTGTTTGTTGAATACCCAATTACATAAAATTGACGTACTATTTAAACACATAAGTCTTTTTTTTCTCTTTATTAAAGAAAATCAACACAGTTGTAAATAGAAGGTATGAATTATCCAAATGAGGCAAGTAGCAGCACACCAGTATGATAGACTTTGACTTGGTATTGACTTTTTGATTAGTAAACTCATTTATTATAACGAAAATTATTACTACTACTTGCTCCATAACTCCAACTTGACAAGAAAATAAAAATAACAAACAAGTAATCATATTTCCTCATACTTTTATTACGAGTATTTCTTGTAAAAGAGTACAATACAACTAATAAAAATAATACTGATTTTAAAAATAACAATATTTCTTCTCTTTCATCAATATTATTATTACTATTACTATCAATCATATCCCCACCACCACATGAATCACCGTGACCGCACCGTCCACCGCCGCCATCCGCACCGCTAACACTACTACTTCTCTCATCATTATCATCATTAGAACTTGAACTTAAATTTATCCACGTTGGAATCGTCCAACTTACCCCTTCAAAATCAGAATATTCCGAACTTGTCCCCTCCGAAACCTCCTCTTCTTTCTTGCTCCTTAAACATCTTACCTCCTCCCAACCGTCACTTTCCCAATTTACCATCACCGTGCTCGCTAATTTACCCACCCTATCCCTCGCCGAGGATTCCCCTTCGAATAATCCATCACACCACGACGACAACAACGACGAAGGCGTTGATTCTTCTTCGTCATCAGAGAAATCAAGATTGTTCCAATCAAGGATACTTCTAGGAGTAGACTCTGTAATCTTGGAAACAGTTACAGGAACTAAAAATGGGTGTTGAAGTAGCTGATCACAGCTCCAGCGTTGTTCCGGGTTGCGATTCAAGCACTTGTCCAAGAAATCCCTTCCGAGTTCGGAGACATTTTTCGGGTATTCGGGTAATTCACTCGAATACCCGATTTTAAACAAAGTACGAGCGCCATTATCTTGCCACGCTGGCACTCCGGTGAACATCTCAATCACAGTACATCCATATGACCATATGTCAGACTCGAACCCCTGCGCTTCTCCGCGGACGGCTTCGGGTGCCATCCAGAGCGGACTCCCACGTGACACAATCTTACACCTTTGATCTTGAAATTCTTGATCATTAACAAATTTTGACGACCCGAAATCAGCGAGTTTCACGACACCATGAGTGGGCCCCGCTAAAACATTACTACCCTTGATATCACAATGAACAACACCTTTTGAATGAACCTCCTTCAACGCCTTCACCAAGCACCACGCGTACGATCGGATTAACTCCACGTCAACACCGCCGATTCTCGCCACGTCACCTCCGGGGAGATACTCCAAGTGTAGATTCCTGTGCGACGTCGTTTCATCGTCGCCGTAATACTCAACGATAAACGGAGAAGATGAGGAAAGAGAACGGAGAATTTTAATCTCGTTCTCTAAAGATTCCAGGCTTTGAAGAGATTGTTTTGAAGCTGTTTTCACCGCGAAACGACCACCGTCGGATTCTCTTATTCCGACGCAAACTGAACCGTAACTTCCCTTTCCAATCATCTTGCCTCGAACCCACTTCGAGTTTTCGACTTCCATTTTAGCTTCGATCTTAAGCTTTCCTATTTTAATTTTGATTTAATTTCCTCTGTGTTTTTTGAAGGGTTTTTCTTGAAAGTTGTGGATTTTTGACATGGACCAAAAAGAGAGAGAAAGGCATGTGGTATATATAGAGGTGTGAAAATTAAGGAAATTAAAGAAAAAAGGAAAGTTTATTGAGATATGACGTAAGGAAATTTCTCACCAAAGTTGGTTAAGAACTTTCGTTGACGTAGAAGGAAAATCATACTCGTAAATCCCCTTATTATTAACCGACTCGGTATTTCTATTGTTGTTTCATTAGTTGCATCTGCCTACTTGTCAAATAACTGCTGTACACTTGGACTGTGACTATACCACATTAGCGATGTAACCCTATTTTTAGCTCGATTCTAAATATTAGTTAATTTTAGATAAGATAAAATTTTTATTTAGTATAGTAGTTTCCTAAATTCACCGAATATATATCACTAAACTTTTCGGACAAGCCAAGTGTCACCAATAAAAATCACTACTCGTAGTTAATTTTCTAAAAAAAAATAAAAAAAAATTACTCTTATAACTTAAGAAAGTACTCATATTATCTTATGGGATTTTTGGAATATCTTTTCCTAATCTCTAATATCTCATATAGTCATATGATATCTACTTCAAATATGTAACGATTACATTAGATATTACGGACTACTTCATAATTAAGTAGTGGAATTGTATGAACTCAATTTAATTAGATTTGTTTCTAGAATATGTTGATGAGGGTTTTTACCGGAAGTATAAGGAGAATTATAGGAAGTCAATATTGGTTGGTTGGTAAGCTTTAGTTAACATTTCTTGAATAAAATTGGACACGTGGGTTGAAAGGGGATGGTTCTAGGAAAGTTAGATAGGTTCTCGAACAACAACCAAGCTAGCAAAATCACTTCGGATTTACTAGAAGATATTTATGTCAATAATTTTTTGTTGGCCTTGTCAACAAAACAAAAAAAAAATTAAAAAAAAAATTGGCAAACAAATACAATTTTTGTTGGGATTGTATGAATATTTTGAGTGACATAATTATAAATCTTTGCTCTGTTCATCCCCTGTTTCTCATCAATACCTTACAATTAAAATTTAAACTAAAATTATTTTACAATATAAAGATTATTATAATCTTAGTACTAATACCAAGTCTACGAATACTATTAAATATTGAATGCATGTAATCATATTTTCGAATATAATATTAGATCATGTTATTGCTTGTTGAGAAGCAACAAGAATATGATCTTTAGGGTTGTAATATAAAAGATTTACTACAAGCACGAAAGAGATCGCATATCTTCTAAAACATTGAATTATAAATGGCAATTATAAGGTTTGGATTCTTATTTGGGATGAGTAGTTTTGAAACGTGAAATTATGGTGTATGATATGCTATACACTACATGTCATTACTCCTCTATTTTGTCCTTTTGGTTTGAATATTTTGCTAAAACTATTGTTCATAAGATTTTTTTTACATTTTTAATCTCTGGATAAGTCAATAAAGAATTTTTTATTAGCAGTTTGACACCATAGGCTTTTTCTCATTTATAAAAATGCTTGTTTTTATTAGTAAATAAATATTTTCATTATTTACACAATGGAGCGAATTGGAATCCTCTAAGCAATTTCATATACGATATAATCTATCCTAAACTAGCTCGATAAACATTTAAAATTGACCGGATAGCTTTAATGGGACTCATCATGTGCTAAAGCGAAAACAATTGGCGTACATGGTATAAGATTTAGTTAATTGGGTTGATCGCATTTTATTTTTATTGAAAATTTGGCAAGTTAAGTTCAGGTACCAAACAAAATCTATTTCGTTTGTATAGTCTCAATTAACTTTGATCTCCCTAACCATGGTCTATTGTTGACATAAATAGTGTCAAAAATCTCAGTCACGACTTGGCATATATAACCGATTCAATTGTAGACCAGATTCGTCCATGGCTATTAACATATTTTTTAAAAGAAAAAGTCACAGGCTTTTATTAGTTGGATCAGTGCCCAACCAATAATCTATACGTAGTAGTAGTACTAGGTAGCAAGACAAGATCATAATATACACTATAACCTGAAGATGCATGCATTACAAATGCGTCAAGGAATCAAAATTAGGAACAGAGTGGTGATAACCATGCATAATTGAAGCTTATCACATATGAGTGACTTAGATTACTTGAATTTGTCACCCATTACGCCACATACACATCCACAGCGCTCAACAGTAGTCCAATTCCCCAAGAATTAAACACAAAAAGATGGCATGTAGTAACATATCTCCCGGTTCACTATGTATCTCTTTTCACGTTGTCAAACGTTATCCTCCGTCTCTAAAAAAAGTGTCCCACTATTGCTTTAAGATGGCTCATTTCCTATATAAGTAACATTGTTCCATTTCACAAGACAAAATCACTTACTCATTTAATACAACTCTTTAATAGTAACAAAGCAATATTGAAACGAGTATATTAGATGTATCAATTAGAATCACGAAGTCAATTTTGGTCGGACATAGTTAAGATACGAGTCATGAAATTATTACGCTCGTGTAAATCAAAAATTGAATCTTTACTTTCGGGTTAGATCGGACTACATAAGATCAGATCAATTTTTGACACTTCTAAGTAAAACGGGACGGGAATATTGAAAATGAGAGGGGTTCAAGTAGAAGGAAATGGAACCCTTAAACTTTAGGATGAGTTCATCCATTACGCTGTAAATAAGCAAGTAAGCCACTTGTCAATTGTACTTTAATTTATCTTTTTGGCTGGAAAATTAAAAATAAAACGGCAAGTAGATCCAACAAGTTTAATCTGATCTGGAAAAACAGCTGCTCATAAAACTAAAAATGGGGTCCACAAAAACGGGTTGACATAAACCACAACATAGGGGCAAATTATACTCGAGCAAAGGTCATTTTTTCATATTTTAATTTTTTATTTTAAGGGTAGAATATTAGATGAGGTGGAAGAATATGATTGGATGAAGAGGAGTAGCACAAAATACGAGGCTAAGAAGAGGAGAGAGAAAGTATCTGCAAAATGTGATTGGTTGGGAAGTGAGTAGTGAGTACTTCTACGCTGCCGTTGACGTGCACCACTTCATTACCTTATTTCTTTTTTACTCTTTTTTATCCTTTTGCCATTTGTCACTTCCTTATACAACCACATAATCTTTTCCACCCTGCCTAAATTTAAAAATAAATAATAACATTTGTCATACTGACATTTTTACACTCTGGCTTAATACATTTGTTTATTATACTTATGTGAAATCTGTCAATTTATAATCTCATAAGCCAATAAACCAAATCTAGTTAAAAACATTCGACCAACAACAGTTGGCTTAAGTTGTAAGTAGTTTTATGTCACTTAAGGAGATCTTGAGCTCGAGCTTAATCGAAGTAGAATACTCTTGGCAGGAGACTCGCCCACACCATAAACTAAGTGTGCGACTTGGGTCGGATCCAGATTTAGTCGGAGCTAAGCTCTGATGAATTGGGTGTGGCATACTAGAAAAAAGAAGTTAAAACATCTAGAGCATAATGCGTTATTACTCTATATATATTATCTGATTCTTACTTATCTCAACTTGTATTTCGTATAAATTACTCCATATCTTTAAGTCTTAAACTTATCGATATCGTACGAAGTAGTATATATATTGAACTTTAGAGTATTTTAGTAAATTCTAATAAGTTATGGTAAAATAAAATAAACCTAGTAAATACGACATATAGAGAATTTGGAGTATATAAAAGGAGCCGATGGTGAAAAGTTTTGAGCAACATATTATTGGTTTCGATATTGCTTATATTAGAAAGAAAGTTTTCCTTTTCTGCTTTCATAATAGAACATCTTGCTCACCTTACTATAATTATTGCTCAAACACTTCTCCTCTCCCTTGTACGGTTGTACCAATTATTTGGAGATTTATATAAATATAAAAAAAAATCTTTACTTTGTTTAATTAGATTATTAATTAAACTTGAAGGATAAATTATAGTCCAGACAAATAAAGCATGAATGTATGTATGCATGCACGACAAATTAAGCTCAGGTAGTAAACAAAAAAAATAAATTAAAAGTCACTATTCAAAGTACTTGGCCACTAAACCTAATTAACTAATTAAGTATTAAGATTAACACCAACCAGAAACGATACAAATACAAAGTAATAATTAATATCAAAATCAAATGTTATGTGCTTGGGTGTTTGGTTGCGTGGATGTGGCTTACCTTGTCGTAAACATGCGGGTTCATGACATGTCCTAAAATTCCATGGAATATTCAAATCATCTACTCCGTATCTATTTCGTATTTCTTTTTTATAATTAACATAGTGTGACTTTCTATACTGTTCATCTATTAAATTTAACTAATTATTTTATCAATATATTTATAATCTCAAGTAAAATATTGTTATATTTCATATATACCCCGTAATTTGTGCATCGATAAATATATTTAGTCAAAATGTGTCAATTATTCTTAAATATACCTAGTATAATAAATCATTAGAAGTTTGCAAATAAACATCAATCAATAATTTTTTTTTTTTAAATTACAAGAACTAAAACTAATTTTTATGATTTGTTTTTTAGTGTATGCCTAGGGAACCGTGACACTTGGTGGTGGCAATTGGCAGGACCTTTGCCTAATTGCCCACTACTTATGTGGATAAGGCATGTGAAGGATCACACTATGGTGAAGCTTACCAAATTTGTTATTGTTTTTGAGGCTTAGCTTTTTTTTTTTTCAGGATAATTGAATTTAATTATATTTGTGTTTATTCAACTTATGATTTTGCATATACCGAACTGTTTAAAGGACTACCATACCTTTCATGATAGCGCACATAATTGCGTCATAATTTGTATGAATAATGATGCAATATTTGGTATTTCATCAAAGGATTAGGCATTGTTTGATCAATTCACTTTGAGAAACACAAAGATCCGTTATAAATTTATAAACAAGTAAAAATCAAATGTAATTAACAAAAAAATATATATATGGTTTGTTTGGTGTAACTGTATAAGTATGTGAAACAAAAATCGAAATATACCGTTTTGGCTATATTAGAAACACGAAATCAAGACTTTTTCAAAGATCGAAAATTAGATCTAAATAATCCCTCAATGGCTCAATCCGACCATATTTTAATCTGAATTTTATCTTAATTCTAACCTCGACCAATTTTGCA